GCACAAAACTCTGGTGGCTGAGGCTTCCTGGGCTACACAGTAAGTCAATGCCAGCCCATGGCCACATTTTTTAAGGGCTAAGCTCAGTGGTCTTTGCCTAACACACAAAGCACTAGGTTCAATGCCCAAAACTGAAAAAAAAAAAAAAAAAATAAAAAAAAAAATCTATAAATTTTTTTTTAATATTTTTTAAAAATTTTTTTCTTTGTTAGTAATTTTAAAACCCCTAACATTTAAATTTGTCAGCTGAAATTAAAATTCTATATTTTCACTTAAATTACTCCCAATTAAAAAAAAAGCCCAAAACTGAAAAAAAAAAAAAAAAAAAATTAGTAAATCAATCTCTAAGATTTTTTTTAAAATTTGGTTAAAATTTAATTTCCTGGTTACAAATTAGTAAGGTCTGATTTTTAAAAAATTATTAGACTTAATTAATGACATCTTTATTTCTCTGAGAGGCCAGTTTTCAGTTCTTGTTCTATAAACCCAATAAGACAGAAGTTCTGAATTTTCCCGGCCCTACTTCAAGTACTCTCAAGTATAGATATGATCAAGTCAATCTCAGCTGTAAGTCAAACAGCAGGTGCTAGCTTCAAGATTTAAAGTGCCATCTGAACAAGAACTCCAGAAAGCTGAGCTACCACATCAACTTCAGTCTTGTATCAAGACACACTTTCAAAGCTGTGCTTACAAAGTTACAGTCTTAGGACCTACAAGAATTTACATTTCCTTCAAGGTATTTACAAATTTAAGCATATTTGTCAAGAATTGTTTGTAGAATGAAAAATTTTCACTAGTATTTTTCAGGTGTTTGGAATCTTGTAAAAACATTTACTTTACTAAAATTTGTTTAGCTTTCTCAAAAAAATGAAAATTTAAACATAATCATGTCGGGATTTATTAAAATATTTGAAAGTTCAAAAATAAGAATCAAAAAAGCTGTGGGTGATGGTACACATCTTCTATTCTAGCACTGGGGAGACAGAGGCAGGTGGGTGGGTCTCTGTAAAATCCAGGACAGAGTGGTCTCCAAAGAATGCTGCAGGCCAGTTGGGGCTACAGGGAGACCATCTCAAAAAGATGTAAATCTGAAACTTCCCTCTTACACTCTTACTAAGGGAATAATTTTGGAAAAAGGCCTTGGTAAACAGGTCCACTTGTTCTGTATTGGTCAGAACTTCCCTGTAAAGAGTTACTTCTCTATATTTAACAAAGGGAAAGAAACAGCACTTAGCTTAGAAAAATCTTCTAAGGACTTCAGGGTATTATTTAAATATCTAACTCAGGGCTGGAGATGGGTCAGCAGTTAAGAGCACTAACTGTTCTTGCAGAGGACCAGGGTTCCAATCCCAGCACCCACATGGCAGTTAACAACCATCCACAACTTCAGTTCCAGGGGAATCCAACACCTCTTCAAGATCAGAAGAATACTTGTGGAAGGTCACCAGAAGTATTGTATGGCATGGGTACACTTACACACATGCAGGCAATACACTCATACACACATGATAGAGATTAGAAATTATGTTCAAATTGTACTGCTCAAAATGGCAGAATAAAGGCATTACAGAAGTAAATTTTGGCTCTATAGTGAAAATTTCCTAATCATAGTCATCCTACACACAAACAGGCTGCTTAAGAAGCTAATCTTTGTTAAATGATCATCTATCTAGCATTTGGCAGAAAATACAGTGCTGGAAATATAGACATAAATAACTTCAGTAGGCCGGGTGTGGTGGCACACTTGGGAGGCAGAGGCCGGGTGGATCTCTGAGTTCAAGGCCAGCTGGGGCTATAGGGAAACCCTGTCTCAAAGACAAAAAAAAAAAAAAGCCTGGCGTGGTGGCGCATGCCTCTAGTCCCAGCACTTGGGAGGCAGAGACAGGCAGATCTCTGAGTTCAAGGCCAGCCTGGTCTACATACTGAGTTCCGGGACAGCTGGGGCTACAGGGAGACCCTGCTTCAAAATGATGAAGAAACCGAGGACAGAAGTTTAACTTAAGTTGATCATGATCATTCAGTGGAGGAAGTAGCAGACCTGTTTGTCGATATCTAATTGATTTTGTGCTCTGTATCTGCTAATAGTAATCTGAGGCAGAATCACCTGCAGAACTTTAAATTAAAGAAGCAATCCAGGTATGCTGGCCTGTACTACTCATAAGGGAGTGTTTCGAACTTTAAAAAAAAATTAAAAATCTGTCAGCCTGGATTCCCTTTCATTTTGATTTTATTATTACAAGGCATATGAACTAACCAAAGACAAAGATGACTGTACTCTCTTAAAAAAATAAAAAATCACAGGCCATAGATTTCTATCTTTTAATAAACATCTTGGCTGGCATTTTGAATTATTCTGGGACAAAATGAAAAAAAATCAAAGGCAGCATATAAATAATTATGAAGCTTTTAGAAGCTAGCAGTTAATTTTCTTATTCAGAAAACCAAGACTAGTGCTTACAATATACTACTAGCTACATAAGATTTTAAGAAGGAGTACAGTCAGCCACGTATGGCTTTTATTGGGAGGCAGAGCCGGGTGGATCTTTGTGAGATCAAGGCCAGCAGTCTACATAGCTAGTTCCAAGCTAGCTGGGACTAAAGAGACCATTTTTTTAAAAAAAAAAAAAAAAAAAAAAAAAAAAAAAAAAAAAAAAAAAAAAATTAGGAGGCTGGAGAGATGGCTCAGTGGTTTAGAGGACCTGGGTTTGGTTCCCAGCACCCACACGGTAGATAACCATCTCTAACTCCATTTCCAAGGGAATGTGACATCATCTTCTAACCTCTACAGGCATTGCAGGATAGGGGTGCACTTATATACATGCAGGCAATACACTCATACACAAAAAATAAAAGGATTTTAAGAAAAAAAAAGGATGCAAAAAGTCAGCTACATATCCCAGACATTCTTATTAGATGAATACCACAGAAAATGAAGAACAGCCATTCTTGTTTTCACATTGCCGTAGATTCTAGTAACTCCTCAAAAAACTTTGATAAACATAAGCACTTTTTATTGGAAATGTTTTGTGTGTTCAGGAAATATAGAGAGTGCAATCACTCTCTACTTCTGCAGGTGTGTGCTTTAACAGGGCTACTTGTGGCATGGACAGAGAATGTGCTATTGAGGTTTCTGTGAACTGTCGTCACTGGTTAGGTGCCTGTACCTTCTATACTATTTAAATAAGACCCATTCTTTTTCTGTCACTGAATGATGCTGGATTTAGAGGCACTACCAAATTATAAAAATGTTTCAGCTTATCATTGCTATTAATGACATAAAAGTATGAAATTATTCTTTTTAAGATATCAGATAAACTGAAGACATATTAAACTACTAACAATTTGATATACCTAGTCCATTGATACTGATGGTAAGAAGATACTTGCTAATGTTAACTGTAGCTAACAGTGTTGCTACTTTTCAAAGTTTTCATTGTGATTCAAATTTTATTTATCACTCCAATCTTATGTGGCATTAATTTTAAGAACAGGGATAGCTCTGATTGGTTTTACATTTTTACCCAAATGACCTCCTTTTCTAGAGAAAACTTTCATGCATGTTTTCAAGTGCTCAAATGTATTCATATACGTATTTTGAAACACTAGAGTTACCACTGTATTGGAATACTGCATGCAGCAGAAAGTCAAGGTACCTCTCATTTTTTAACTGTCAAGGACTCTTATATTAAGACAAACTGTCAGCTAAGGAACTCTTATCAGCACTATTTTTATTTTTAAAAGTGTGGTGCATGCACAAACATAAATAATAAAATGTAAAAAAAGAATTGTTTTAACAGAAATACTCCATCCTCCAATGATAACCATCATGTAAATCAGACATTGAACAAGCATAGTGCTTTGAGGCAAAAGACATTAAATCACATGATAGTATGTGAACAAAGCTAAGTATTGTAGGAAACCTCAACCCCCAGATGCTTGGAACAAAGTTAGGAGCAACCAGTTTAAGGTAAAGAAAGACATCAACTTTCTATTTCTACTCCTTTTTTGGGGTCTTTTTTAGACAGGGTCTCCCTGCAGCCTCAGCTGGCCTGAAACTCACTGTGTAGACCAGGTTGGCTTCCAACTCACAGAGATCCGCCTGCCTCTGCCTCCCGAGTGCTGAGATTAAAGGCATGAACCACCAGGCCTGGCTTATTTCAATTCTTTAACAGTGGTCTTCCTTCCCACTTTTTATATCATTTTTATTACCACTAATGAGACATGCTAAGATTCTTATACACACACTCTTAGGAATATATTGCAAACACAGGTCTCCCAGACTCTGCTTGGAAATAAAGCTCTGCAATCCTAAAAAAAATAAAATAAAAAAAAA